ACTCAGTTTCCAATTCTTTGCCACCACAAAAAGGGCTGCTATAAATATTCTTGTACATGAGGGTCCTTTTCTTGTTTTTGTGATCTTTTTGGAATACAGCCCTAGAAGTGCTATTGCTGGGTCAAAGGGTAGGCACATTTTTATAACTCTTTGGGTATAGTTCTAAATTGCTCTCCAGAATGATTGTTCAAGGGCAGCTAGGTGGCGCAGAGCAGAGCACAGAGCACCGGCCCTGAAGTCAGGATTACCTGAGTTCAAATCCGGCCTCAGACCAAACACTTGACACTTACTAGCTGTGTGACCCTGGGCAAGTCACTTAACCCCAATTGCCTAAAAAAACAAACAAAAAAAAAACCAGAATGATTGTTCACAACTGTGCCAACAGCGCATTGGTGTCCCAATTTCCTCACATCTTCTCCAACATAAAATCCCACCTTCTACAAGAAGTCTTTCCCAATCCCCCTCAATGCCAATGCCTTCCCTTTGGGGTTAACTTCAGATGATGCTGTATATAACTTGTTTGTACGTAATTATTTGTAAGTTGTCTCCCCCAACAGAATGTGAGCTCCTTGAAAGTAGGGATTGATTTTTGCCTTTCTTTGCATCCATAATGCAAAGTACAATGTCTGGCAAGTCATAGGCATTTAATAAATGCTTGTTAACTTATCGACTAGAAGGGACTTTGGAGATCAACTAGTCCAAAACTCTCGTTTTACAGAAGGGAAAACTGAAGCTCAGAGATGCTGACAAGACCTGCCTTATGGGACTATTACAAGGAAAATATTTTGTGAATCAAAAAGAGCTATATAAAAGTGAGTTGTTTTTATGCTCAGCTCTCTCACAACCTTCAATGCAAAGAGCCAGCCCTAAGCAAATATAAAATAACACAAATTTCTAGGAACTTATGCAGATAGTATAGCATAGTGGGAAAAGAGCAGTTGGGTTCAGATCCCATCTCTGGCATTTATTATCTATGTGACCTTGGGCAAATCACCGAACTTCTTTGTGCCTCAGTTTCTTCATCTGTAAAAAAAAAAATGAGGAGATTGGACTTGATGATTTCAAAGGTCATACATCTAGTTCTAAATCTTCGAGCCTGTGATTGCTGAAAGGCAAATCCCAGGACATGCTCTCCAAAACAGTCTCTCAAGTTTCTTCCCATTCCCAACAGCTTCATGGGTCAACTGGCTGCTCATTTAAAGTCTCTGAAGTACATATCCTCTGTAAGAGGTGAGAGATAATCATGGAAGCAATGCAAAGGAAGCTGATATCTAGGCCTATGAGTCATCTCTATTCTGTAGCACTAATCACACACCTATTTTCCTATGACTTGGAACAAGGAATCAGAGTGGATTCCTTTTTTTTCTAAGAACTTTCGAACAGGAGTAGATGATAATGACCTAGCCAGAGCTTCCTGTCTTCTCCCTGCTTTCCTTTGCTTTGCCAAATCCCTCTCTTCCAAAAGAGTTCCTCTTATATACCCCACCTCTGATGCTTCCCTTTTACTCTAGAAGACTGGAATTCTTTGTTTTTAATTTCTGCTCTACCATTCACTAGCCATTCGACCTTGAGCAAGTCATTTCTTCCTGGATCTTAATTCCCTCTACCATGAAATGAAGGGGTTGGGCTAGATCATTTCTAAGATCCTTTCCTGTTCTAAAATTCCGATAAAGTCCTGCTTCCAAACTCTCTCACTGGCAGCTTGTATTGAAGTCCTAAGAACTTCTGATGCTAAATATCCTCTGGTTAAATTGTTAATGGCAGATGTAAAAATTCCCATCCTTACAAAAAGTGATACCACGGACCTTGCATACAAAGATAAAGCTACTGGGGGAAGATAAAGAAATTCTCATCCTTAATAAAAATGATGCCAGGGACTTTGGATAACAGGCCCCAGCTGTAGTTTCTTAGGTTCCCCTAGAAACAAATTCAAACCTTCCTACCTGAGCTGACGATTTAAAGACAGAGAGACATAGCCTTCCCCCAAACAAAGAAAGCTGAGATTGGAGGAGAGAGGGAGATCCTGCCTTTAGTGCCTGGGAAGTGCTGGGAAGGACTAAGCGAGAGCCGTAGGCCACTGGGGGTTGGCGCCAGGAAAGCTGTCGGTCCGGGAAGGAGATGGGGCTGGGTTTAATCAGGAAGAGATCCAGGAAGGGTTTTTTAATTTGGGGGTGAGACACCACAGCTGGCTTGGCTTTGAACCACTCTCCTTGGTGCTAAACCCCTGTCTCCTCCCCGACACCTGCCCTGTCTTCCCACCCCCACCCAAACTACACCCCGCCAAGGTGCTCAAGGCCACTTTGATGTGCGGATGGATGCTGGGGAAGCTGTGGCTCACAGGCTTCAGGCTGGCCTCATCGCTTTCTCCACAACCCCTAGTGCTGAGCTACAAATCCGGATTAGGAGGCAGCATGGCTGGAGGAATCAGGAGCTTCAGGCCTTAGTCGCTGCTCTACCCTTCCCTGTGTGAGCCTGGGCGAGTGAGTCCACCTCTCTAACCCCATTTCTTCATCTCTAAAGTAAAAGGGGTGGATTACATGAGTTCCAAGGTCCCTTTCAGCTCTGACATTCTGTACCTTCCCAATTCAGTTTGAGTCTAGAGTCAGACCATCAGCCTAGTGATTCCATACACACACACACACACACACACACACACACACACACACAAACATACCACCTCTGGTTTGCACTTAATGACTTACACTCATAGAGCTTTATGGTTATAGTAGAGGGATAGCAACCTGGCCCTGCAGCCAGGGAGCCCTGAGTTCAAGTCTTCCCTCTGACACAACACAAGCCATGTGATCCTCAGCGGGCTGATCAACCTCTCAATGCTCTTGGCAGCTTTTCTAAGTCCCAGAGGAGGTGCTGACCTTCAGTGGCAAAGGATTTTCCTCCATCCAGAAGTCAGTAATTTATTGGGCCAATGAAATCACAGGCCATATTTCTCCTACTGTTACGAAGCAGAGAGAATACTACCATAGAGTCCCTTAGAGTGGGTAAGGCCTGATTCTTGCACATATTAGCTATGGACAAACCAATTAGTGCCCCCAAACAATTCTTTAAATCTATAAGACTATAAAGACACCCAGTGAGGGTAGAGTAAAAAGAATGCTGGAATTTTCATTACAGAGAACATGGGTTCAAATCCTCTCCTGGCCACAAGCTGTGTGATCTTAGATGAGGTCACTTCCCTCCTCTGGGCCTATTTCCTCATCTGGAAAATTAGGGAATTAGACTAGATGATCTTTGAGACCCCTTCTGGCTCTAAATCTGTGAAGTATCAAGACAAATCACCTTTCCAAATCAGTGGATGGAGTTCCTGCACTGAGAGCACCAGTGAAATCATAGTTCCCAAATTCCTTTTCTACCTAAAATGGTTAGAAAGCGCTTTCACAAATACGATCTGCTTTGATCTTCATAATACCTCTGTAATATCCCCATTTTACAAACGAAGAGACTGATGAAATAACTTGACCAAGGCTACCCAGTGGTGGGGCTGGGTCCCACTCTTCAGTCTTTTGACTCCAGCACTCTGCACAGCCTCTCCCTCGTGGCAGGGACCACCTTGTTAGCCCTAAAACTAGTCACCCATCCCAAACTTTCTCTTTGACACCTCTAAGCCACACCATGAAAAGACTGCCTGATTCAACTCTGTTGCACAGTTAGCACATGTCTAGTGGGTCACCCACACAATGGATTCTAAGCTTTGCCTCTGCATAGGATTCATATCGATTGGCAGTATTAAATGTCTCTGAGATACCATTTATTCTTTATTGTTCATTTCATCCCATTTCATCAATGGGAAGCCTTGCCCCCAAATCCCAAAGGTATCCTGCAGGGGGGAATGGGACTGAGCATTTATTTGCCTCTAGGGGCAGAAGATACAACCATTTTTTTCCCTCGGCTCCTCTTTTAGACTCCATTCCTCAACTTTTTGTTGATATGGACACCATAGCCTACCCTTATTCCATTCCTAAGTAAGGACTTTCATTTACCTGGAAGAGAATTGAGGAAGCCCTGAAAGGATACATGGATAAGCAGGGCAGTTTTATTACTACCACATTAAATTTAATATACCAGGGGCAGCTAGGTGGTGCAGTGGATAGAGCATCAGCCCTCTAAGTCAGGAGGACCTCAAATTCGGAGTTCGAATTCGGCCTCAAACACATAACACTCACTAGCTGTGTGACTCCGGGCAAGTCACTTAATCCCAATTGTCTCACCAAAAATAAATGAATAAATAAAATGTGCCACTAAAAGGAAAACAAACTGTACATAACAGAGATCCCAAGTTTCAAATGCAATTTTTTTCCTGTTCTTATTTGTATATTGAGCTGTTCATGTTTGTTAATGTTTAAGTGAATAATAAAGTTGTTAAAATAAAACTTTTAGAGAACCTTCATTCATTCAATTAATCATTTAACACAAATTTTCTGAGCACAGCTTTGCTAAGCCCTGTGGTGCACATAAAGGGAATGGCACATGGTCTCTGCCACCAATAAACTTACCAGAGTATGAAATTCGAGAGACCCAACAGAGAAATTAGCTCACTCTAGCAGCTGTGTCCTTTCTCTCCCTCTTCCCCAAAGTTCCCATCACCTCCATCCTTACACAAGCCCACCCCAACTCTTCCTCCTGCAATGGAGATTTAGGAGTTGGATAAACATTGCAGATGGATTTAAGAATCCAATAAACATTGCCAATGGATAGAGACCACACCCACATTAACAGGAGGACCGTGGGCACAATCTTCCCAAGATCTTTTGGAGGGAGTGCCCTTCCACCTTGCAGATATTCTGGCATCCAGACTCCTATGCAGGCACTACTACCAAAGGTTCCAGGTCCAGATTCCAAGATATTGGAGGAATGGCCTACAGGAAGAGCTGAAGGGGTCTCCTTGTACCATCTCCCTCCTCTCCTCCTCCCTTCCAAGCATGTCAGTACAGCTGTCTTGAGCCTTTTCCTTCCTACTATTAAAAAAACAACACACTAGAAAGTTCATCTAGAAATCATTTATTTACATTTTCCCTTGGAAAAAAATATACAGATACTTTCCCCATTGATTTCTCAGATGCTAGGACTTTCAAGGTGAGGAGGAGAGAGAAGGGATGGCAGCCAAAGAATGGCCCTACTTCCTATCTGAGTTATTCAGCCCATGGAACATGGGCTTCCCTGAGATTAGCCCTGGAACAAAGCCTCCCCGGTAAGAAGAGTCCATGATACCACCCAGGACCTGGGCTTTTTTCAGATACTGTCAATGCTAAGCGGGCTTGGCATGAGGAAAAGCAGAGGAACACATAAAGACAAGTCTCAAGAACGATATTATAAGCCTGAGGACGGAGGCAGGGAAGAGGGCTCAGGAAGATTTTTAGAATGGTGTGTCCCTCACCCCACTTCTGGCTGGACTCAGGCCTTCAAGAGAGAGACACACACACACCTCAGCATTGGTCACACAGGGGAGTACTGCAAGCCTAGTTGCTGTGCTCATTAAACCACACCAGCACAAGCTCCTTGTTCTCATTCACCCAATTAATATTGGACCTGGTCTTCTCCAGAGCCTGCTCCAGGGCCCGGGTTCCTGAACCAAAGCCGACATCCATGTTGTCCTGTTCGAATTGTTCAAGCTGCAGAGGAAAGAGAAAATTAATTTCATCTTCCTTTAGTTTTAGACACATTTCTCACTGTCTGAAAACCACTGTCTTAGGGAGAAGGCTGATCTACCCAGGGGGCCCGGAAATCCTTTTCAGGATTTGTCCTTTGCAGAGATAGTAACCCAAAGTCCTCAGGAAGTGAAAATCTAAGCTAACCTTCTTACATATACACCGCCCCCCCCCCAATATATATGTTGTTTAAGGAAATGCCAATACCTTCGAGAAATCAGGTAACAGGATCACAGAAGTTAGAGCTAGAGGGACTTTGGAGGTCATTTAGTCCAAACCCTTAAGTTTTCAGGGAATGAGGAAACTGAGGCTTAAAAAAGGTTAAATGACTTGCCCAAGATCACACAGATAAGCAAGGCACAGAGCCAGGATTTCAACCCAGGTTCTCTTAACTCTGAGTTCAGCACCATTTTCCACTGTACCACATGGCCCCATCCAGTCCAACCCCTTCATTTCATAGACAAGAAAATTAATTGCCTGAGAGACCTAATTTGGCCAATGTTGAACAGGTATCAGGTCCTGGGTTTCCAAACTCAGTGTTATTCCCACTACACCATGCATGCTCAGTGGGATTGTGCAATGATCCACTGAGAAAATAAGAATCAGTCTTATTGTTGAGGCAATCACAGACTTTGGAAAAGGACCTGATGGGGCAGGAGGCCAGTAGGGAGCCTGCAACCACTCTACCAACATGGTGGTTCTTCTAAATTTCCTTCTTTTCAAGAGACATGGGGTGTCTCCCTCGTGGCAGGGACCACCTTGTTAGCCCTAAAACTAGTCACCCATCCCAAACTTTCTCTTTGACACCTCTAAGCCACACCGTGAAAAGACTGCCTGATTCAACTCTGTTGCACAGTTAGCACATGTCTAGTGGGTCACCCACACAATGGATTCTAAGCTTTGCCTCTGCATAGGATTCATATCGATTGGCAGTATTAAATGTCTCTGAGATACCATTTATTCTTTATTGTTCATTTCATCCCATTTCATCAATGGGAAGCCTTGCCCCCAAATCCCAAAGGTATCCTGCAGGGGGGAATGGGACTGAGCATTTATTTGCCTCTAGGGGCAGAAGATACAACCATTTTTTTCCCTCGGCTCCTCTTTTAGACTCCATTCCTCAACTTTTTGTTGATATGGACACCATAGCCTACCCTTATTCCATTCCTAAGTAAGGACTTTCATTTACCTGGAAGAGAATTGAGGAAGCCCTGAAAGGATACATGGATAAGCAGGGCAGTTTTATTACTACCACATTAAATTTAATATACCAGGGGCAGCTAGGTGGTGCAGTGGATAGAGCATCAGCCCTCTAAGTCAGGAGGACCTCAAATTCGGAGTTCGAATTCGGCCTCAGACACATAACACTCACTAGCTGTGTGCCCAGGCACAGATGAGATGACCTAGAAAGAACTTTACCTGTTGTAGTTCAAACTCTGTGGAAAACCTCTGGGTCACTCCCTGGATTAGGCTGGAGAAGGAGAAGGAGCCACCACCATAACTGCACAGAGGGAGGAATAGGTCAGAAGAACTGCTCTCTGTTTTCCCTTCTTGCCCAAGGGGCCATGACTTCCTCAGGATAAAGTGAGGTCATAGGAAGCTCTCATCAGCAAGAGTCACAGTGGAGCTTCCATTTAATCCCAGCTTCTCAGGCTCTAAAGCTAGGTAATCTGACAATCAAAGTCACTACTACCTTGGAACAAATTATGTTGTGCAAGCCTCTAATTCAAATCCATGTTCTCTGGCCAGTGCCTTCATCAACACAGGTAGCTCTCCAGCTTCCCAACCTCAGGCCCCTCCTCAGGAAGAGAAGGGCATCACATAATTTAGGATTTGAAGGAACCTCAGAGATCTAATCTAAGTCTTTAACTTCACAGATGAGGAAACAAACTGAGGCTCCAAGTCTGGAAATCACTTTCCCAAGGTCACATAGATAGTAGACCCAATATAGTAATCCGTTCCCAGAGCCCTTCTCCTAGAAGACTCACTCCTCGAATAGCTTCTTCCAGTTGGCTCGAATGAAGTCCCAGGTCAGACTTTGCCCAATCACATTTCTGCAGATGCTGATGATGGTAGATGTTGCATCCTGTTTACGGATCAGCGTGGGATCGAGAGCATAAGATAGGTATCTGGGCAGAGAAAATCAAAACTAGTTAGGGTAGCAGTTTCCCAGTTTCCATGACTTTATTGGGTTAAAAATTAACCATGAGAACTAAGGTTACAAGAGTACTTTTCTCTGCAGAAGCCAAAGTACTTTCCTGTTTATTTTTTCATGTAACTTTTGTTGTCCTATTGTCAAAAGACCAGCCAAGCTAAGTCAGAGTGACTCATCCCTAGATCAAACAAGGCCATAGACTTTTCAGCCATAGGAATTCTGAGGCCTTCTATTAAGTCCCAGAGGAGAGATGCCATCTGCATCGGTGACTACACTGGCAAAATTGTAGATATTTGAAGTATGAAAGAAATATCCTCCTTACTTAACAGTATGCTATGAGGAGTAGGTATTCCTGGGGAGTAGCATTTTAGGGGAGGAAGAAAAGGGAAGGTAAGGAGATTAGGTTCTAAAGTCAGCTGAAAAGTGAATATAGATCTCCTAGAGGCAAAATTATTTTGAAAATCCCTTGAATAGCCCATAGATTATAGCATAATACAGAGGGTCCCAAAAGTCTTAGTGCAGTTCTCTGTTAGTTAAAAGCTTAAAACTGCACTAAGACTTTTGGGACACCTGTATCTTGAAACTATTGTAGCTAATAATGGGCTGTATATCTTTAAAAGAAGACAAGCTGTCCACTGATGGGTTGATTGGTTTTCTAAATCGTTTTTTCCCCTCATTTTTTTTTCTTTGTTACAAGTGATAGTTCACTGAAGAGGGAAGGGGGAGAGACATATTCAGAAACAATGGTCACAGAAATGACAGAAAAAAACAAAAGATAATCAATAAACTTTTTAAAAAGAAGGCAAGTGGTATCAGAATGAATGGATCTGAGGTGACTGCTATAGAAATAGCTTAATTTTCATTACACCCAACTGAGAAGAGAGGCAGGAAATGGAATTTCTACTCAAAGAAAAGACAATAAAAACATAAGCAAAGACTTTGCCAGCAGGAAAAATATTATGGGGGGAAACAGTCTTGGAAGAGCTTCATATGTAAGAGTATCCTTTGAGGGGGTGCACATACCATCAGGGAAATGTTCCTTCCTTTAGTTTCAAGGTGAGATAAGATAGTACAGAAAGAAACAAGTAGGAGACTTCTGGCTGAACAGGCATGTTAGGGAGGTTAACCAAGTTTATGCCTCTTCATAGCTTTAACAGCCTAAGCAAAATGTATAGGTTAATTGTGATGAAGAGAAGAGTCTAGAATCACAATCAGGGGGACAAGGTGCTCACTCTGTGAGAGATGCTACGTGGTACCAACAGAGCAACGCACAACTTCATTGGAGGGCTCCTTTAAGTTATACTTACTCTAGGCAGACACTAATTGAGTAGAATGGCCTGCCACTACTATTCAAATAATTATTTTTCTCTCTTATTTTTGGTCAAGAACATCTAGTAGAATTGGGGAAAGTTAAATGCTTTCCCCTCCACTGTAGTTGCCCTTACATTTAACAAACTGGGAAACTGAGCTAAATTCACAGGATGAATCAGTGGTAGAATCAAAGTTAAAGCCCAGGTCTCTGACTCCCAGAACATAGGGTAGCTGTTTTCAAGGACTGCTTCAGTTATATTTTATTTTTACCACTTTTGATTCTTTGAATTCAGTTATTGGTTGAAGTTGTTTAGTTTGGGTCATGACAGCATTTTTAAAAATCTGCATGCCTGCTATCTGCATTTTGGGGTAGGCTGGGGATTGCAGAGGACTCCAAAGGATTTTGCATTATCTCAGAGCTTGAAATCCTCTGCCCAGGGATCCTCTGGGGTTCCATGCCGTGGTGCCACCCAGAACAACTAGGGGACCACTTATGGTGAGGCTACTGGACAGAACATATATACATAAATACATATATGTGTGTATATACACATTTATATACACACATATATACATGCATACATATATATGCACATATATCTATATATCTATGTATCTATACAGATGTACACTCGTGCACACATACACACACACAAACACACACATACAGCATTTATAAGGCACTTTTTATGTGTCAGATGCATGAATGGGGTAGGGGAGAAAGAGAAAAAATTGTCCCTAGGGCTGGCCACTTGTTTGTCCCCTACTCTATATTTCATCCACTTTCCACTGTTTTACACTTACTCTTATACATAACCATACACCACATACCTCTGTAAGATCCACACTTCTTTGCTGCAGGCCATTCCTGAGCGAAGCTTATCAGCCTCTGTTACCAGAGTGGCATTAAGGAACTGGTTCCAGGCAAATTCCCACTCTTCTTCTCCACCTCTGGCAATGGCATTGCAGTAAATGGTAGATCTCAGATTGGGGTGGATCCTAGAACAAAAAAATAGAAAGTTAAGAAGCTGACAGACAATGGGATTTAGCAAAGTAAGGAACTGTGAGGTTCTTTTCAAGCTCCTAGACTCTTGGACATAATGCTAGAAACATCCATTCTTAGACATAGAGTTAGACATGGTGTCCAGTCCTAACTTGAGCTCTTCAAAGCTATTTGACCTCTCTTGGTCTGTTTTCTCATCTATGAAATTAAGGAATTCATAAGTTCCCAAAGTAGGTGATACCACCCCTCTGGGGGGCTCTGGAAGATCCAGGTAGGTGGTAGTAGCCTCAGGTGCAACTGGGTGGGGGCCATTGAATAAAAATAAGGGGGTGGTAGAAGTATAAGTAAAGAAGAGAAGAAAATTTTGAAAAACCATTTGTACATGTTTCATCTGTTGTGTAACAGAGTTAAAAGTTGCGGTGAGTATATTACTTTCCAAATAAATACACAAAATGCAAGTTATAACCGATCAGTGGTCAAGTCTGCTGCGAGGTCTTAACAAGCAAGTGTTGGCAGGCGAGTGTCAAGCATTTCCAGGAAGTCCAGCAAGCATCAGTAGGAATACATGCATGTGATGACTTGTTTACAATATAGTATCTTTCCCCCTCCTACCACCACCCTCCCCACCCCTAGCTACTATTTAGCTTAAAGCCATTAACACCCCTCCTACTTACGGATTGTTTGAGGGGTCATTCATCCACTGCTTGAAGAGGTTTGAGGCCAGGTCCCCACATTCAACAATACCATTAGAGCAGGCTGTGCTAATAGCATTGATCTCATTGTATCTACCCAAGGAAGAAAACAGCAATCAGGGTATAGGTAGGCAAATGGGAAGTTGAGAGGGGATTGTGGAAAGTGTCTCTCTTGTGAACACAAAGGACTTTGTCTCAGAGCAACCCTTCCTACCTTTGTAAAGTAAGCTAGGGAAGCATGCAATGCAATGCACCCCTGGAATTTGTACTTCTCTCTAGCACCAATTGAGTTCTTTGAATAAAAGCAATTAAATGTCTACTAAGTAGTTATCTTCTTTGCCCTGCGGCACAGACTAACTCAGCAGCCAACTGGGTAGCCATCCTCAGTGGTAACTGAATTACTTCTTTCCCAGTTCATAGAAGACTTCTTTTCCTATGATAGCAGCTATTAAATAATTGGAGATCATACTATTTACTAGAACAATTACCTCAGCTAATATATATCCTCAGCACAAAGCACAGTGCCTGACCCAGAGGGATAGGAATTGGACCTGTGATTTAATTGACTTAGGGTACTCTCAGATGAGGAAACTCCCTTTACCACTGCAGGATCATGGCCTTCTCTGCAACTCAGTCTTAAAGTTGCCTAGCAGTGCTGTCAAACTCAAATAGAAACCTATCCCTGCTAGCTGCAAGTTGACTTAGAAAGCCACAAACTAACATTATCTAAGTTTCACTGTATTTTTATTTATATGTGTTTATATTATTTTATATTTATTATATTATGTATTACATACTTATATTCATATATAAATTTACGTATTATTTTATATACATATTTATTTTAAACATTTCCCAATTCCATTTTAATCTGGTTCAGGCCCCACCTGGCTGAATGCAAGTTTGACACCTTTGGGCGTTAAGAAGTTAATCATCTTGCCCAGGATCCCAGTGGCCTGTGGTATGTATCAGAAGTGAAACTGGAACCCAGGTCTTAATCACCTCTTATCTGGTATGTATGCAAATGTTTATTGATTGAATTAGATCCAGTAGAGAGATCTGTTTTAAAAGATGAGGACAATTTTTCAGCACCCAGCTCTTTGGAGTATCTATCTCTCTGGCCCAGCTGCAGTACAGTTGAGGGCAACAAAAGACCCATTCCAAGAAAGTGTCTGAAAACAAAGATTATGGGCCCTGAGGCAGGTCCCCTAATTTGTGACCTAGCACTCCTCCCTCCAACCCCTTAGCCCACATTCCCCACGTCTATACTCACTGTTCAGTCAGTGTGGGAGGACGGTCAGCCCAATTATTGGTGAGGCTTTTAAAATGCTCAAATAATGGAGTAACCAGTCTCTTCAGATAGTTCTATTGGAAAGAACAAAACTTTTCAAGTTTTTCATTTTGCACCCATTCCAGATTAATTCTGCTGATTCTAAACAGCATAACATAAGGAACAAGCACCTATAAGACGTCTAGACCTCATGTCCATCTTTCTTTCCTTTCCTTTCTTTTTTTTGGCTAGGCAATGGGATTAAGTGACTTGCCCAGGGTCACACAGCTAGTAAGCGTCAAGTGTCTGAGGCCAGATTTGAACTCAAGTCCTCTTTACTCCAGGATCAGTCCTCTATCCACTGTGCCACCTAGCTGCCCCTCTCTCTCTCTCTCTCTCCTTTATTGAACCCTCTACACCCTCCCCTCCCCTCAGAACCAGAGCTGTAACTAGGGAGGGGCAGCTGAGATTTTACTCTTGGGCACCAAAATGTAGAGGATGCTAGGAGCTTTTACACTCCTCCATTACTGAGTTTTTAGCACCTACTCAGTTTGGTTTATTTTGGCTGGACTTTGGGGAGTTCCCAGTATGGAAACTCCCTCCCAACTCTGCAGATCAGAAATCTGCACACCATCTTTAATTTATAATTTTAGGGAGATGCTTATAGGGCACTGACACATTAATCAACCCTGTCTAAGATCACACAGCTAGTATGTACTTCATGTTCCTAACCCCGAGGCTAGGGTTTAACACCACACTTCCTCTTGATAAGTAAGAATTACTAGTTAAAATAGAAAGTCACCTGATGGCTTCCTGTTTAAAGTGAGATACTCCCTAGCTCATGTACACCCTATTTCCCACTTTTCCTCTTTAGTCTACAAGGCACCACCTCCCCAGCAGTGGCCTCACATCACTCCAGGTTCTTCTGTGGATTCCTGAGGTCTCTTCCCTTTATCCCTGCCGCAACTGAATGTGTCTTTAAATGTGTGTTTAAGAATACCCTTAATGCTGTGAATGTATTTGTGAAGTTTGTCCCAGATGTCAATTTGCTAGTTATTCTCTGCTCCTCCCCAAAGACCACAGTGATCCATAGATGCTCCCTCTCAATACACACAAGGAAAGAAATACATATTCTGCTTTAGCTCTCTGAGTCAAAATTTCTCTTAGCCCATGTGTATCAAAGAATTCAAAAGTTCTTTAGGCCTAGAGAAGAGCTACAAAATTTTTGTTTGTTTTTACTAGGCAATCAGGGTTAAGTGACTTGCCCAACCAAGGTCACACAGCTAGTTAAGTGTTAAGTGTCAAGTGTCTGAGGCCAGATTTGAACTCAGGTCCTCCTGACTCCAAGACTGGAGCTCTATCCACTGCACCACCTAGCTGCCCCAGAACTATAACATTTGCAAAGCATGTTTCCCTCATTTGTCCCCTTGTCTACTTCCTCCCTTCCTATCAGGTACCAAGGGACCCCATTTTTCCCCTACCCCCTTATTTTTAAGCCAACACACATAAAAGCATCTAATTTATTCATCTTGAAGTACATATAACAGATAAAGAAAGCTTCATATGTGATGACCTTCCAGGAATATTTTTGTTTTAAAAGAAGACAAAAACTTAGATCAAAGAAATGAAGCCCTAATGACAGAATTTCAGGCACTGTGGGTGGGTGCTCCTATGAACCCAGGACCTTCCCTACTACCCTTAAAATTCATACCACATATAGGCAGACATTAGCTCTCTGCACAGTCTGGCCTACCCCAGCTCAGGTCCACCATGTCAAGGTCTCAACCTAGACCTTCAACTCTTCTTACCTTCATGGGGCCATACACTTCTGATCGATCAAACATGAGCTGGAAGTAGCTAAGACTGCTGAGGGCAGCCTCCCAGGGCATGTATTCCACTTCATTTTCCAAAAAGAGTGTGTTTTCCAGAGCCAGGGTTGTTGGGATATGTTGGGCCCTGAACATAAACATAGGACCTCAGTGTTTCCAGCCCCAAGTGAAAAGTTCCCCTCTCCACCCTAGCTATGCCTTCAAGGTTTCAAGCCAAGAGTTTTCTTTACTCTCCTTTTCCTAACTCACTTCTATATAGGAATTTGAGGTTTATAAAGCATTTTCTCCCATAATAAGCCTGTCAGGAAGACAAGGCAAATGTCATCTCCATTTTACAAATAAAGAAATTGAGCATTAAAGAGGTTAAATGTCTTGCCCATTGTCATACAGAAAGTATCAGAGCTGAGATCCCACTTGGGTCTTTTTTTTTTTTAAGGCAATTGGAGTTAAGTGACTTCCCCAGGGTCATACAGCTAGTAAGTGTCAAGTATTTGGTCTGAGGCTGAATTTGAACTCCTGACTTCAGGGCTGGTGTTCTACCACAAACTTGGATCTTCTGACTCTGGGTCTATTCCTCTTCCTGCTCCATAGATAGCCAGGCCATGGAGTTTGCCCCAGCATCACAGATATGTTGGTTTTAAAAGGACCTTAAAGATCATCTACTTATACCATTTCATTTTATAGGAGAAAACTAAGGAACAGAGGTATTTTAAGTGACTTACCCCCAAATCTCCTTGATTAGTTAGTGGGAAAATCAAGACTAGAATTTAGGCTTTTTGTCTCCTAATCCAAGACTCTGTACCTGCTTCCTATTCCCCTATTCCTATAAGCTTAGATGGCCCACTGGAATGGGCCCTACTGGACATAGTACATGCTTACCTGGCTAGGTTAAAGCCATCATGGATGATCTGAGCCCTGTTAATGACTGGAATGCTCTAAAGGGAGGGAAATAAAATCTTATCAGTGAATTGAGTAGCAAGTGAATGTGAATGTGAGCACCAAGAAAGTTTAGGGCATGAAAGACCCCATCAACATTTCCCCGAGTTTTGCTATGTTACCTAAATTTATAAGCAGGATTCCAGGGTATGGGTTATAAGCTCTTTCAGAAACATAAATTTATTGGTTTCTCAGAGTACAGGTAAGAGCCAAGAGTTTCAGACACTTACGGCAAGGTTAGTTTGTAGCTCATTCTGAAGTTGCTTCCAATTTCTGTCATCATAATTCACCAGGTAATAACCAGTCATGTTGATGTTCAAGAGTACCCAATCATTATCATTTGTCACTTTAAGCTGGTCATAAACGGCTGCAGAGAAAGAGATGTGTTGGGGTGTGCAAGAAAGAGATATGTTGGGAGACTGGCATGAGAATTTCACTTGATAAAGTTTCAGCTCTGATCTTCAGTGTAACCTGCAACCCCAATTCAGACATGCATGCATACACACACACACACACACACACACACATATATACACATAACCTACCCCCATGTTCACCCAAAATGGGCAGGTTCTTAAGTGTGCTGGGGGTCCAAGACATAGCATCTCCTAAGACCATGTTGCCCATGGATGGGGTAAGGAGACAGTAAAGAGAGCCAAAGTCCTGACTTCTGGGACAGATGTTAGCTTAGTATAGATGACCACTACCTTCTGGTCTTATTTCTATCATTAACTAGCCATGTGACCTTATTTTCTTTGGATTTTGGTTTCTTCTTCTTCTGTAGAGGCTGGATAATACTTGTGCTACCTACCTTATAGGCCTGGTATGAAGATGATACAAAATAATGGGTATGAGAGCACTTTGGAACCATGCAGTTCTCTACAAACGTTAGGAACTATCATCTTAATCTAAGATCTGCCTGTAAATGGCTGGAGGAAAATGGACTTCTATAATCCACAGAATCATGGGGTTTTCAAGAAATTGGAGTCGTTGGGATGGAGGAAAGGCCTTTGTTGGGCTAAAATATAAATACCCAAAGGGGACCTTGGAAGAAAGATGGAGAAAATGCCCTCTCCACTCAGCCTGGAACAAAGCAGGAATACCTGACTCATCTCCACTAAGCCATCCAGAATAACTTCCTCCTTCCTTTTTGGTTGCAGAGATAGGCACTATCCACTGGTAGCTGTAACGAGAAAGACAGGTAGATCCTCCTTGTGTTCTTCTGAGTACTCAATTCCCTCATTCCAGAGAAAGCAGATCTGAGACACAGAGGGAGATGCTTCAGCCCAGTGTTTTCCCTTTAACCTCAGGTGCCTGTTCCACAAGTCTCTGTGGACAATTAGCATAGGCATCAAACCTCCAATAGTTCTCAACATAGCCCCGTCCTGGAGGGAAAGTTTCGTAAGGTACCACCTTGACTGGTGGGCTTGAAGGGAGATGTTCTCCTGGGCTGTGGATACCACTTCTTCCCTGGGCAGCGGCCAGGGACAGTATGGACAAGAAGCTGCCAGAGTCAGTGACACTTTCATTTAACCTCAATAGATATTGGGGACAGATGGATTCTAGTAGAATCATCTCCTGGGAGGTCACAGAGAGGGTTAAGAACTTCATTTCTTGGGATCATTTAAACATAAGCTAGAGAAAATTCCATAGAATATCTTTCAGAGAAGGGAAGAATTATGACTGGTGAGGTCTTTCCCACTTCCACTCTCCTTCCAATTCCAACCTGGATTCACCCTTCACTCACTTAAATTGAGAGGAACGAGTGACATTGGAGGTAGGGTCTAGCAGGAAGTGTTGCTGAGAGAGAACACCAGTGGTCGTGTCCAGTTTCAGCACAGGAAAGCCCATCTGGAGGATCCACCGATCCATGATCTCTTGTACAGAAACAGGCAATTGCACAGCAGTCTGTCTGTCCACAGCCTATATGGGAATGAAAATTAAGTGAGGGAAAAGTGCTTTCAGATTTGAGGTGTCAAATGATCCTACTTCCCAGAGAAAATTCCATTGTGACCCCAGTATTGACTGAGATCATCTCTGGGCAGAGTAAAGCATACTTCCCTTCCTTTCCCTTCCTTGGTTCCACCCTGCTCCTCTTTAAATTCCAAACCATCTCTAGCCTGAATGGAGAAAGGAAGCCACAGCCTGGCAGGAAAGAGAAGATTGCAGCTGCTAAGGGTCTCTTACACCCTGAAGTTTCTAGGCTTCTGTATCTATAACATCTCTGCTTGTCCAACAGAAAATACATTTTTGAGTCTACCCCATGCCTATCCCAAGGTATTCTGTGGGCAAAGTGCACTAGAATGTTAATGGATTAAATAGATTCAGAAGACTGGATTTCTTCAGATCCCCTAGAGCAGCACTTCTTAAAACTGTGGGTCAAAATCCCATATGGGGTCATGTAACTGAATGTCGGGGTCATGACAAATTAGGCAACAGTAAAAGGTTTCTGAATGTGCAATGACCAAAAATTAATTCAAAATCAAATGCATAATGAATCCAAGGTGTTTCTGGGAGTACTTGCCCATGTTGCATCACAAAGTTTCACTGCAGCCTTGGTTCTGATCACAAAACATGTGCACTTGGCACTGCACATGCCATCATGCCACAGAATGCCAACAAACGCTGCCAGAAACACCTCGGCTCAGATTCGAGACTATTGTGTTACAAATTGCAATGTTTTTACTGTATGTACAAAATCATTAAATGAATTTTGGCTTGGGATTAGGACAGAATTTCCAACGATTCCTGAAACATCCTTAAACATACTTCTGCCATTTTGTACTATGTGTTTATGTGAAGCGGCATTCTTAGTGTTAACGATTATAAAATCAAAATATCAATCACCTCTGAAAAACATTGAAAACACTGAAGATACCCTGTGTCCAACAGTTATCAAATATTCCATCAAGATTTGATTCTTTATGTAAAAATGAACAAATGCATCCATCCCATTAATACGCAAGTTTGCTTTTGTCTTTAATAAATGGTAAAATTATATGTATGCCAAGGAATTTTTAAAATAAATTTCTTTATGATTTCTTATCAGTGAATGTTTGATTTGTATACCTATATGCCTGAAGGTCGCATAAAAATTTCTCAGGTGAAAAAGGGTGTTAAGTGGAAAAAGTTTAAGAAGCCCTGCCCTAGAGGAACAGATGCAGTGTGGCATAGTGAAAAGAGCATGACATCTGGAGTCAGAACATTGAGTTGAGTCCAAACATTCTGACCCAGTTTGTCACTTAACCTTTCTGAGCCTCAGTTTTCTTAACTGAAAAATGAAGGGGTTGAACAAGATGAGCTCCAGGGTGCCTCCCAGTTCCTAATAAAGCCTTTCTGAATCTCTTTAATGCCAGTGTCTTTTCTTTATTAATTTTCTCCAATTAATCTTGTATATGGTTTGTACGTGTGTCATTCTCTCCTCTTAGAATGTGAGCTCCTTAAGAGCAGAATCTGTCTTTTTGTCCTTTTGGGTCCCCAGTGCTTAGCACTGCTCCTTAGGAAATGTCTATTGATTAGCTAAATTATGTTATCCCATTATCCTAAGTGTGGGCCCATAGAAGTCTGCAGGACAGAGCTATTTCCACTTCTCTCACTATCTTGCTCATGGACCCTACTCCTCTCTCCCACAAAACACCTTGAGTGCTCTTACAGAGACAAACAAAGTAGAATATCTATGACCAATGCCTCTTCTTTTACAACAAGCTGCCATCTATCCCCATACTCATAGACACATATAATAAGTGGACTCCTGGGCACGCTGAGAATCTTTAACTTAGCACTTAGTACTGCCTGTAGGGGAGTCAGGGAGCCAGCATGGAGGCCTGCCAGCCTAGCCTTTGGGGCAGGCTTTTGAAAGAAAGCTAGGTATGATGGATACACCACAGAACTGGAAGTCAGGGACAACAGAGTCTTAGGGCTGGCCCTGCTGATGACTAGCCAGATGACCTGGAACAAGGCCTTTCATCTCTCTGGACCTCAATGTCCTTTGAAACAAGGGATTGGACTAAAAAAACTAAATTATCTGTAAGAGCCCTTACAGCTCAGTGATTCTGAGCAACGCAAATTGCATGGCGCCTCTACTTGGGGATACAAACTTTCTCACAAGAAGGACACAGCTGTTTACTCACTTGTTGAAGGTGATCCCATAGATTCTGGTAGACTGTATTGTTGTAAGAAAATGTGTGCAGGTAGGACTGTGGAGAGACAATCAGTTAGATACAATGGTAAGATTCTCAGATGTAGTCAGAGGACTTGGGCTGAGGTCAGGTTAGTCACTTAATCTCTCTAGACCTCAGTTTTCTCAACTATAAAATGAAGGAGTTGGACTAGATGACCTCTTCCATCTCTCCCAGCTCTAGATTTCTGATCCCATGAAGGCAAGGGCCTTAGGTTTGAGAGAAAAATTCCCTACCACCAAGCTTCCTCCAACTCCCAAAGTTTCCCAATCTATCCTAAATTGTACTATTGGCCAAGACTTCTGTGATTGAAGGCCTCAGAACAGTGAGACCTGAGGAGTTCCCAAAGGAAGGCCAAATCAGGACTTTATGCAATCTTTCCCTTTCATCCTTCCTGCCTGCCAAGGGAGGGTTGTAGTTAAGTACTCACTGACAAGCCCGTTTTGAAGAGGTCTTCTGTAAGGAAACTGGACAACATCCGAAGAACTGAGGCTCCCTGGGGAAGATGAAAGATGGGCCCTCAAAAATGCAGTTAAGGAGAGGAAAATTTGAAGGAGCTTTTATGCAGGGAAGTCAATGGGCAGGCAATCTGGGTCTAGAGATCCAGGTAAGTGCTCTCTAGCACTAAGGAGCTGCTAAGGAAGAAGGCAAGGCAGACACAGAACATGCCTAGAGCTATCTGAGCCCTTTGGGGCTGGCTCGGGAGTCGTGCTGAGATAAGATTGTTTCTGAGAGACAGCATGACCTCCTTTTGGGTTCCAGATCTATGATTGATCATGGGACTGCAGAGGGCCTGAGCTCAAAGTCTATCTCTAATATGTATTAGTTGTGTGACCTTGAGCAAGTCACTGAATGACTTTAGCCTTCAATTTTCTCTCATCTGTAAAATGAAGGGATTGGTCTAGATAATATTTAAGACCTATTAAAGTACTCCATCTTATAATCCTATGAGACATAGATTCCAAAAAATTCCTTTAGGTGACTCAGTGAAGGATCCATGTAGGTGTCAAAATAACTCCCACCTCTGCCTTCCAATCAGAGCAGGCTGGTGCTGTGCACTTCCAGCCAAGATGCCTTACCTTGCTATAGGTGATAGTATCAAAGAGCTCGCTGATCTGGGCTGGGGTGTTGATTTCATCTTCAGGGGTGGACAGCGGATGGGAAGAGGCCAGGGCATCAATGGCCATCACTTGGTGCACATCATTCAGCACTATGAGGTCTTTCTGCAAAGCCAGAATGAGCCCCGACCCCACTCCTTTAGAACTGAACCAGAGGACAGCAGAGTTCCTGCCTAGTTACCCTCTCAATCCCATGCCCTTCTTAAGCTCATTGACTAGTTCTGGACCTCTGTCAGATGTTTCCTAAAGCACAGTTCTGACCAAGTGACTCCTCTGCTCTGCAAGCTTGAGCCAGTTACGTCTAGGGGTAAAATACCAACTCCTCTGTTTGGCACTTAACGTTCTTCACAATCTGGGTCTGAGAGAAATTAAGATTATATTATATCATTATGCTATATTAATAACTAACTATTAATACACGATCCACCCTTTTTCTCTTCTGTTAAGGCCTAACTCCTGAAGTCAGTCCATCTCTGAAGGGCATGGCTGAGTGATGAGATTGCTACTAGCCCTCAAGGCACAAGTTAGTTTGTAGGTTAGCTAAATTGGAGTAGGACCCCACCCAACTGGGAAGCCTAATTTCTGTTTAAACAAAATCCAATCTGAGTAAGTCTTTGTCCTGAGGAAGAACTCTCTGTCTTGAGAGTTTAGGGTGACCCAGCTTATGAAGAAGAAAACTAGCCAGAGAGGTCCGAATGGAGATGACTTTCCCTTGTCCAGATTGTTGGAGACTGTTGAGTCTCAGATCAAGCCAAGTTCTCAGCAGGAGGAGCTGAAGACTTTTAGCTCACCTCCTCATTAAATATCCACTAATCAGGGTTGATCTTCATTTGTCAGGGGAGTTACAAGTTGTTGCAGCTCATTCCTGTACCCCACTTCCCCCACCATGTTATATTACCATGTATTTACTTTGTTTATACAGTTATCTCTTCCATATCACAGAGGTTAGGGGGGCAGCATGCCTCTGTGATCTGGAAAATCTGGGTAAAATTTTTTGGCCCTCCCTTAGTATCAAAGAAGAAGTCTGAATTTTTTCTTTTTCTTTTTCTTTTATGGGGTGTATACAGTATTGTAAAATTTAGGTTAACTATTTGGTCCTAGGCTGTGTCATCTTCTGGCCTTTGCATGTGGTTTGCAGCTTCTCAAAAATTCCCGTGTAATTTCTTATGCCAACCCATGATATATCGAAACCATGATGGGGAAAGTCGTGATGTGGAAGGGATAACTATTCTATTTGTGTCTGCCCCCACATTTTCTCCCTTCTCTCCATCCCACTCAGCAGAATGTAAGTTCTTTGAAGGAAGACTGTTTTTATTTACTTTTTACCCAACCCCTACCCCCAACCCTCTAGTGCCTAACACAAATTAGGTGATCTTTTGCTTAATAAATGCTTGTTGAATCTAATTGAATTGAATTCTTGGGGTAGGAGATTCAGCTGCCCTTTTGACTTTGGCCCTCAGAGGGACAGAGCCAGCCTATGACACAGGAGAATTTTAACATACAACATCTACTCACCAAGTTCCAGGAAGGCTCAGCAAAGTCAGCCCCCAGGTACTCCACGTAGGAAGCAAAGCCTTCATTCAGCCACAGGTCATTCCACCATTCCACAGTGACTAGGTTGCCAAACCACTTAAGGAGTAAAAGATATTAAGAGATCTGTGATCTCTATCCTCTGGACCCCTTCATCAGCCAGGCCTGGATTCAAATCCTGGCTCTGCCACTTACCAACTGCATGAATGCAAATCACATTTCCCCTATGCTCCTCAACTTACTTATATATAAAATAAATGGAGTAAATCATTTTAAAGGTTCTTTCTAGTTCTAAGTCTTCTGCACCTACAATCACGGCTGTCTTTTCCCGTGACCCAGCTGGACATACATTCGTGTACATACACCCAACACAGGAATAGTCAAATCAAGGGGGTGTCAAAGATGAAATGTCCCTCCCTTCCCCTGAGGGGTTAAAAGAAGTGATAAATAGGGGTTGTGGTGGAATGTGGTACCTGGTGGGCAAGTTCATGGGCAATCACTGTAACCACTCGCTCCTTGTTGCTAATGGAGGAGGATAACTCATCAAATAGCAGTGAATTCTCCCGGTAGGTCACAAGGCCCCAGTTCTCCATGGCTCCAGCGCTGAAGTCTGGCAGGCCTACCTGATCTGAAAAAGAAAGAGGCCCACTGAGCTAAGCTGCACCCCCCCCCCATATCCTAGTCCAAAGGGTGACTCTGGCCCCAGGAAAGCATTCACTGCTGCATACCTGACCCTACTCACCAGACTTGGGCAACGGATAGGGTGTGTTGTAATGATCTGCAAAAAAATCAAGGATGGGGCCGGTGATATTCAAGGCATATTGTCCATGTCCTGCCTCGATTGCTTGGGGACGGGCCCAGATTCGGATCTGTAAAGGAACAGATGCAGACTGAAAAACAAGACAACTCAGAGCACAGCCAGAACCAGGAGAGTGGAATAGGGTCAGAGTCCTGGATTGGGGAGTAACATCCTAGCATTAGTATCTTTTACTAAACAGACATTTATGCTGTTTTCAGCCAAAAGGAGCCTGGGTAAGTAGAGGCCAGGAGGGTGGTGGAAGGGAGCTCTGGCCCTGAGAAGAGAAGGCTTTGAAAGCCTGAGGGAATGAGGCAACAGAGGGGCAGAAAGAGAAACAAGTAGGTTAGGGGAGAGGGGGAGCAAACAAGTGGGAGAGATGTTGGGTGCTGGGAAGAAGGGCATGAAGCCTACTTGTTAACAGGGACACCAAATGGCTAAGATTCTGGGATCTTATGTTGGTGTAGTCTTCTTCCCTCTGTCTCTGCTCTTTCCCAGCAGCCTCTTGTCTTATGTTCTGAGCTTGCAGGGGAGTGTGAGATAGAGGCATGAGTATTGGACTGGAAATGAGCAGACTTGGGTTCTAGCCCAGATCTCTTACTGTGTGACCTTAAACGCATTACTTAGCTCTTCTGGACCTCATCTAGACTAAGAAACTTCCAAAATTCTTTTGAGGTCTATATTTCTATGAAGCACAAAAAGACCTTGCCTGTTCTATGTCTCTTCACACTCTTTGATCCACTAGGGAAGATGCCAGGGTGGAGGTGAGGGTGAGTAGGGGCAAGGTAAGGCAGGGAGGCCAAAGGGGGCATTCTGAACATGTAAGAAGGGCTTGATTCAGAAAGTTACCCTGGCCCTGGCCTTGAATTTTATACCTGTACATCTCTTCCCTGTTCCTCTGCTGCTTCAAACTGGCAAACAATATAAGCCAAGAGATACGTGGACATCCTTGGGGTGGTGTCAAACTGAGTGATGTTCCAATTATCATCTTGTTTAACAGAAGCTAGACACAAATGAGAACAGGGTAAATAAAACAGCAGCCTGTCTCTGCCCCTACCATCTCCCTACTACCTCCAGAACACCTCACCCATTCTTTTGTTTTCCTTTTTTTTTTTCTTTTAGGCAATTGGGGTTAAGTGACTTGCCCAGGGTCACACAGCTAGTAAGTGTCAAGTGTTTGGTATGAGGCTGGATTTGAACTCAGGTCCTCCTGACTCCACTGCACCACCTAGCTGCCCCCACACCTCACCCATTCTTGAAGGTTATCACTGGCCCAGGACCTGTAACTAGCATAGGGACAATGGAGCTTTGCCCCAAGTGAACGCCGACCTTGCACCTCCTGCTAGAGCGGCAGCATAGCCACCCCTCTCCCAGGATACCACTGTTATGACTCTCTTCTCCCTGGACCTTTGCCTTCCCAAGCCCCTTGGGGGCAAGAGCCAGATTGCCCACATCTTTTGGCACAACTTCACCTGTAGTCAGACTGTCTTCTGGAACCATCATATCCCTAGCCCCACTGCCACCCATGCCTCCCCAGCAAATCATTTGAGCTCCAGGTGGAAGTTTCATCATTATGGTACTTGGTCTTGGTCTCAAGAGGTCCAGGGGCCCACTACATAGGGCTTTAGTTAGGGCCAATTGCCAGTGATGAGTCCATGAGCAATTGGCTTCCTGAATGGAAGAGAAAGGAGAGCAAGCCCCATCTTGGAATACTCACATTTGACAGGCATGTTGGAGATGGCTATATGATCAGAGGGGTGGATCAGTGTGATGTCAAATGTAGCCTTCATGCCTGGCTCATCGAAGCATGGGAAGGATTTACGGGCATAAGGGGCTTCCATCTGTGTCGTGGCCAACACCCTGAGTGAGCACAGATTGGAGTTATTACCCTCCATGGTGGCAGATACACCCCATAATAACGGATTGCCTTGGCTAGAGAATTCATCACCAAATGGAAGTCTACTGAGAATGAACCTAGCTATCCATTAATCAATCAGTAAATGTGTTAAATAAATACCTACTATGTGCCAAGCACTGTACCTAGCTAGGCAGGTACTCCAATCTATTGCCCAGACCGTTCTACAGTGGAAAATCGGCCAGAGCTTATACTCTCTCTGGTACAGGGTTTGAGAATTCAGGGTACCTCTGAACCATATGAGGCAAAGTACCCAAAATAACAAGAAGGTTTTTCAAAGCACATTCCTCACAACAACCCTATGAGCTGAGCAGTAGTAGCTTTTATGGGTCATAGGACTCCAAGGGAACTTAGAGGTCATCTAGTCTAAAACCCTCATTGAGAAACCCAGAATCCAGAGAATGACTTGCCCAAGGTCACACAGATAATAAGTACCAGAGTCAGGATTTGAACCTAGCTCCTCTGACTCTACTCTTCCCATTGCACTACGCCGCATCGTGTTACTATGCTCTTTTTGGCTCTTTTTGAAGATAAGAGAAAGTACAGCCTGTAGCTAAATCTCAGGCAACTGAGGGCTGCCTGAAACCAAGAGAAGGGGAATGTGGTACAGTGGATAGAGTGCCAGGCCTGAAGTAAGGAAGAACTAGCTTCCTGAGTTCAAATCTGGCCTCAGACACTAGCTATATGACCTTGGGCAAGTCACTTCACCATGTTTGCCTCCATTTTCTCACCTGTAAAATCAGCTGAAGAAGGAAATGGAAAATCAATCCAGTATCTTTGCCAAGAAAACTCCAGATAGGGTCATAAAGAGTTGGACACAACCGAAAACAACTGAACAACAATCTTGAACTATGCCTAAGAAACCTAGAGGCAGCTCAATGGATAGAGCCCTAAACTTGGAGTCAGGATAGACCTGAGTTTAAAGCCTCGCTTGGAAACTTACAGAGCTGTATGACCTTAGGCAAGTTTTCTTATCTATAAAATGGGTATAACCCCAGTTGCTGTGAGAATCAAATGAGAAAACCTATGTGAAGCAGTTTGTAAACCTTAAAGGCCTATATAAATCCTTGCTATTGCTATCATTATTAGAAATGTTTTTAAAATGCCCTCCACATCACAGCAACCACAGAGAGGTCTCTTGTTGTCTCAGTTAGTTAGTAGAGGAACTAACAAAGATATAGATTCTGGGGTCCCTGCAAAAAGGCACTGAGTTTAGGTACAACCCAACCCAGGGATGTGGATTGAAACTGGGTCAGGCCGGGAGAATGGGAGCATATATACAGTTGTTCTAGTATGTGTTTCAGCCTTCCCTACAATCCCCTTTAAGTCCGGAGAACCTCAGGAAAACTGGATAATTAATTCAGGGGCAAATGCTTGGTTTTAGATTCTCCATATGGTAGGTGTGGATGGTGCTCAGGGTATCAAACCAAATTAAGTCCCTGGGCTCAGAATCCTCGGGTCAACCTTTGAACAAGCCTAGACTCTCTGTAGTCCTTCCGGGACACTACAAGGCTGATCCAGACTCCCATTCTTCCCAAGGCTGCCATGGCCTGGAACAAACATCCAGAGGCCACCATGCTTGGAAACTTTTTTGTAGGTGGTAGGCTAGGTCCAAGGCTACTTCCAAGGATGTTGTGGAATATGAGGCAGGTAGGGGAGTAGGATGGCAAACACAAACTCATTTCATTCATTATTACTCCATATCTACCTTCCCACTTGGTTAAGGCTATAGTCAGTCCCTTGGGATCAGGTTTTATTACAGATCAAGAGAAACTCTTAGAGCAAATCTAAGACCTCCTAATAGTAATAATGATAATGCTTCATGGTTATATAAAGAACTGGCCTTGGCATAAGAACAACCTAAGCTTAAGCCCCACTTCTGACAAACACTAGCTGTGGTAGCCTTGGGAAGACCACTTAACATCTCAGCCACCATCTATAACTGCAGAACAGTACCTGATCTGCAATGGTGGAAGGAGTTTCCTCATTTGGGAGCTCCCCATATCAATTAAATCTGGATCCACCCCCACCTCCACCCCGCCCCACAAAATGACATAGCTTTTTACAGTTTCCAAAACCCTTTCTTCACAATAAGGCAAATTTGATTATCTTCATTTTACAGTTGAGAAAACTGATTCTCAGAGATATTAAGGGATTTGACCATATTCAAACAGCTAAGGAAATAGTAAAACCAAGGATTCAGACTCAGATCTTCCATCTCTCAGTCCATAGCATCACAATGACTTGCTATGATCTACTAGCTTGTCAGACGCAAACCACAAAGGCTCACTGCTTCCTGCAATGGGGGAGCTTTTCCTACCATGACCAAGCCTTAAAGGGGGAGGTTCCTCCTTGGACTCCATCCCTGGTCAACCTCCACTCCATTGTTGTGGTCTTTGCTCTTCAGAACCCCAAACTCATAGTCCTCTTTCTATAGAGGGACTCCATGGGGAGTAGGGGGGGGAGGGAGGGGAGAGACATCTCCAAAGTTGGGCCCCAGTTCTTACTTGTTCACTCCATCTTCAGTATACTCGCTGCGGTAAAAGCCAGCCAGGTCGTCAGCCAACTCTCCCACAAAGGTACTCTCCATCTCATAGTGATGGCCTACTACCAGTTTACTTTGCAGATGCACAACCAGATACTGGGTTGTCGTCACCAGCTCAGTACTATCAATCTGGGGGGGCTGGGAGCCATTTACTCCCTTCAGACTCACGTGGTAGCCATCCTTCATGGTGTAGTTGAGTTTGTTACTGTGGATGATAATGACATCGGTTTCCTCTTTACAAAGGAAGCGAACAGTACTCTCACCCCAAAAGATGTATAGGCCCCGGTCATCGGTGGTCAGATTGGGCCTCAGCTTCACAGTGTAATGGTCAGGGATCAGCGACTTTGGCAGCCGGTATCTGTTCCAGGCTAGGCTTGGATCCAGGGTCGTGGGGGCCGTGGCGGCCGGAGTGGCTTCAGTGTCGGGAATTTGACTGGTGGGTTTCTCTAGTCTCTGCTTATTGTTATTCTTCTCCTCTGAGTATAGGACTGACAAGGTGATGATGGTGCATATAGCTGCTACAGCAAAAAGGATACCCACGATGCCCAGCGTCTTGGAGATGAAGAAGCCTTTGGCCATGGTGGCAGTGTGAGGGGGTGAGGGATGGAGGTGAAGGGGGACTGGATATGGGAGAGCAGGGATCTGGGGGAAATTCTTAGAGGAGAGGTCTGCAGCACCTGTCCTGGGCTTTTATGTAGTAGGGTAAGGGGAGGACCATGAACAGCATTAAGAGGTAAAAATTAACCAGGCTGTGACAGGTGAAGGTCACGTTCGATGGTTAAGGTCCACACTTTCCCTAGGGCTCCAGACGAGGGATAAAAGCAAAGCGATTGGTCAGCAGCACACAGGCCCTGCTGGGAGCAAAAAGAGTGTCAGGTTACAGTCCGCAAAAAGCACCCCAAGAGGCAATCTGGGTTTTGAAGCACAGCTAAGAGAATGCCACCAAGAGGCCGGGAGCCCAGCATTCAATGATGTCCAGGAGGAAACGGCTTTTGATTATAGCAAAAGAGATCTAGTTGAGGGACAAGGAAGAATTACCTGGTTGCAAGAGATACAAGTTATAGTCAAAAAAAGGATGAGGGAATTAAGGGTGGAAAGGACCTAAGGGGTCATCTAGTTCCACCCCCACAACCACCCCCACCCCCTTTACAAATGAGGAAGCTGAGGCCCATAGAGATTGTCACTGGCCCAAGGTCACCCGTAGTCATTAGTGGAGCTGGAGGGTAAACCCACCTTCTTCCCTCTGACTGCAGCTGTTTAGAGGGATTTGAAATCAGTTTGCTATATCTGGGAGAGGTTACCCTAGAAAGGGAAATATCAACCTTTTCTCAAGTCATGATATAGTAGAAAGAACACTATCATTAGAGTCAGAGGGCCTGAGTTCAAATCCTGGTTCTGCTCCTTTGTACCCACGTGATAAGTTACTTTACCTCTCTGGGCCTCAGTTTCTCCATTTGTAAAAAAAAAAGTCTTCTTAGACTAGAAGACCTCTAAGGTTCTTTCCTGCTCTTGATCCTATAACCTGGGTTCTGATTTTAGTGGAGATTCTGCAATAAGTTTCCTCACAAACCTTAAGCTCAGAAAGTTCTTATTATTATCTAACCTAAGTACTTTCTAGAGACTTGTTTTAGTTGGTGGGGGAGGGGCAGGCTGTGGCTCATCCTTTCTTGTCTTGTTATTGATGGAAATGGAAAAAACATACATTAAAGATGACCATTGCTTTTTTCAGCCTTCCATTCCCCTGGAAAAAGGATGTCAATTTTTTTGGCACAATGAGACAAGGCATCTTTTGGGGCTTTAAATTACTTTCTTTGCTGACCTCCTGATCTTCTTTAAGCTTTCTAAAGCTCTGTTGACTTGAGGATTACTATTAATAATAATAATGACAACTCACATTTTGTAGGATGCTTTAAGGCTTACAAGTATATTACCATATGCTTTTGCTCAACCCTGCGAGGTGGGTAGTTCCAGCATCATCATCTTCATAACAGCTAGCATTTCTATATCACTTCAAAGCTGGCAAAGTGCTTTACAAATATTATCTCATTTTCTCCCCACAACCCTGGCAGTGAGGTGCTATTTTTATACCCACTTTATAGATGGGAGAATGGAGGCAGGGAGTGGTTAAGTGATTTGCCCAGGGTCACATAGATATTCAAGTGTCTGAAGCCAGGTTTGAACTCAAGTCTTACTGACTTTCAAGTCCAATGCTCTATCCACTGCAATACCTACCTGCCTTTAGGTTTTGTGGGGACAGTTTCATGCGTTCAGCCAATCCTGTTCTGCTTGCCCTTGGCAGCTAGGAGCCGCAGCGAATAGCGCTCTGGACCTAGAGTCAAGAAGCCCTGAGTTCAAATTCAGTTTCAAACACCTACTTCTTATGGGATCTTAGGCAAGTCACTGTCTGCCTCAGTGTTCCTCAGCTGTAAAAAACAGAAATAATAATGGCACCTACTTCCCAGGGTTTTTGTGAGAATCAAATGAAAAAATATTTGTAAAGTGCTTTACAAAATTTAAAGCACGATATAAATGCTAGCAATTATTATCATTCCTATTTTAGTTCAGTTAATAAATGTCAAGGTCGCAATTCAAACTCAGAGCTTCTGATACCTGGTGTAATATTCTTTCCATTATATCATACTTGCCCCAACATTCTAGACCCCCAAATGGAAACATAGCTCACATAAAGTACTTACCAACTCTGAGCACGGTGGAAGAATTACTTTGTGGTCACTGCACACTCTGTGTGTTCCAATTTATAGGATTTTGGGACCACATTCCATTTTTCAACTAGAGGATCGAATTGCTAACATACAGGACTAGAATGAGGAATGGGGGAATTCCCTTCCCTAAGGATTTTCCTTTTTTTTTTGAAAGGGAAGGCAATCAAGGTTAAGTGACTTGCCCAGGATCACACATCTAGTAAGTGTCTAAGGCTGGATTTGAACTCAGGTCCTCCTGACTCCAGGGCCAAGGCTCTATCCACTGCCCCACCTAAGGATTTTTAAAAATAGGAAACATATCCAGATTTATCAATGCATCAATCAAGTGATTCCTAAGTGTCTGTCTTGTGACCGTCCCTTTACAAGGTGCTGGGCAGGATCTCAAAATAGAAGACACCATCTCTGTCCTTAAAATAAAAGATACCATCCCTGTCCTTATGAAGCATGGAATCTAGTCAGTAAAACCTAATCCAAGCAAAATAATTTGGAAGCAACCTAAGAAAACCGATAATGGAGGGCTAACCCAGATGCTTTGGACTTCCCGTGCATTCAAGATTCAGGGAAGGGAAGAGATCAAGACAGTATTTAGGGAATTTCTTCAGGGCAGGATAGCTCAAGGTGAAAAAGGATGGACTAGAACATTTGAAGTTACTACTAGATGAGAAATCAATGACAACTCAATTCTACAAACATTTATTAAGCACCTACTATGTGCTCAACTAGGGAGGCAGTTGGGTCTACTGGCCGAAGAGTCCACCTCAAAGCCAGGAAGGTCTGGGTTCAAATCCCACTTCTGACATACTCTGACTGTATGACCCTAGGTAAGTCACTTAACTTCCCAATGGTCTGAGAAGTTCCTTAAGGCTACAAATTGCAGACAGCAATATAAACTGTAATCATAGAGGGAGTTTCCTCACCTGGAAGTTCCCTACACCAAGGAAATCACAGGTCCAGGTAGGTTAGGGCTGGGAATATGAAGACAAGAAACATGTACCCAAGTAAGTACCTCTGAAATATATACAAAATCAGATAAAGTCATTTCAAGAGGGAGTGGGTGTTAACAAGGAGTAGGAAACAAGAAAGTTTTCATGTGGAAGGTGGCATCTGAGCTTAAGGAGAAAGTGAAGGTGTGAGACTATGAGGTAAAGATGAGGACAGCACATCTGAAGAAGATACCAAAACACAGAGGTGAATATCATGGAGAGGAAAAAAACCATCAGACCTGTCTGATTGGTCTGGAGGTAGTGCAATAAGAAAAGAAACAATATGAGTCTGGGATTCCTATTTTCAGCATGCAGCGTGCTGTCCTTGGAACAAATTATCCAACTCTGCTTGAGTGTGCCTTTCAGAGAAGTGGAATGCGGCAGCTAGATGGGGGAGTGGATAGAGCACTGGCCCTGAAGTCAAGAGGACCTGAGTTCAAATCCAGCCTCAGACCAAACACTTGACACTTACTAGCTCTGTGACCCTGGGCAAGTCACTTAACCCCAATTGCCTATAAATAAATATAATATATATATAAAATAAATAAAAATAAATAAAAATTTAAAAACAGAGAAGTGGGAAAAATGAGTTCCCTAGGAGGTGAGAATGAAGTTGTTTGCCAATAGGTAAGCATCACTAAAAAAGTTGGGGGTAGGGGCAGGAGGGAAGAGAAGGTGACTTGTGGGCACTAGTGACCTAAGGGAGGAAAGAGCTTATAAACACTTATAAAATGAAGAAATTGGAACCTGATGAGTGCTGATGATTCTTCCAGCTCTATTGAACTCTATCATCTATATGGGTGAGCCAGGGAAAGGTAGAGTCTTTACCAGGGGGCTCAGGTGTAGACAAATCCTTGGACTAGATGATAAGGATTCTCTGATCCCAAACTCTCGCTAAGATTTGGGTAAGGCAAGGCCCCTTTTGTATGTGAGCAATTTGGTCCTTCCACCTCCTGCCCACTCTTATTCAGAAGACGATTTCTTGAGGTACAAAGACAAATGAAATTTCCAAAAACCTATGGTGGTAGCAACTTCAGGTTGCCAGAGAGCACCTTAGTAGAAACTAGTCTCATAGGATTTAACATAGAGGTCAGCTAGCCTAACCCCTTCTTTCAGGCCATACTGGTCTACTTGCTGTTCCTAGAACCTAACGCTAGATCTTCCATCTCTGTGTCTTTGTATTGGCTGTCCCTCATGTCTCAAATGTTCGGCCTTTTATCATCTTTGACTTTTTTTAAAACTCAGCTCAACAATTTGGATCTATGCCCAAAGGGCTATAAAAATGACCCAGCAATAGCACTTCTAGGGCTGTATCCCAAAGATATTATAAAAATGGGAAAAGGACGCATGTGTACAAGAATATTTATAGCAGCTCTTTTTGTGGTAGCAAAGAACTGGAAATTGAGAGGATGTCCATCAACTGGGAATGGCTGAACAAGTTGTGGTATATGAATGTAATGGAATACTATTGTGCTATAAGAAATGATGAGCAAGGCAGACTTCAGAAAAACCTGGAAAGACTTGTAGGACTGATGCTGAGTGAAGTGAGCAGAACCAGGAGAACATTGTGCACAGTAACAGCCACCTTATGCGATGACTAATGTTGATAGACTTAGCCCTTCTCAGCAATGCAAGGATCTAAGACACCTCCAAAGGTCTCATGATAGAAAATGCTATTCACATTCACAGAAAGAACTATAGAGTTTGAATGCAGATCAAAGTGTACTATTTGCTCTTTTTTTTTCTTCTGTTTTGTTTGTTTCCTCTTCCTGGTGGTTCCTCCTACTGGTTCTAATTCTTCCTTACCACATGACTACTTTGAAAATATGTTTAATAGGAATGTATTAATTTAATAAGAATGTATTATTAGAGTCTATATCAGATTACATGCCACCTTGGGAAGGGAAGTGGGGAGGGAGGGAGAGAAAAATTTAAAACTCAAAAGCTAATGGAAGTGATTGTTGAAAACTAAAAATAAATTAATAAAAAAAAAAAACACAGCTCAGATGACACCTTCTATAAGAGACCTTAGGCAGGTAGTTTGCTCTATGGATAGAGCACTGGGCTTGGAGTCAGGAAAACCTGAGTTCAAATCCACCCTTAGTTACTGGCTGTGTGACCTCAGGCAAGTCACTTATCCCTGTTTGCCTCAACCATAAAATGAGCTGGAGAAGGAAATGGCAAATCGCTCCAGTATCTTTGCCAAGAAAACCTCACATAGGGTCATGAAGAGTCAGGATTGAACAACAACAACAGAGGTCTTTCCTAGTGACCCCAGCTGCTAATGCCTCCCCCTCTAAGGTTAACTTGTACCTATTCTGCAACATACTACTTATTGCCCTGTTGTGTCCCCCATTAGCATGTAAACTCCTTGAGGGCAGGATTTGTCTCATCCCTACCACCTAGCTCCAGGCCTGGAACATTCTAAGTGCTTAATAAATAAATAAATAAATACTTGTCGATTAATTGATTTTACAGATAGGTAAAGGGAGGCCAAGGGGTGGTGAAAAGATTTGATCAAGGTCACAGAGATAGTAACTAGCAAAATTGGAATTTGGACATGTGACTCCAAAACTTTCCACTGCACCGCTATTAGCTGAAGCCACCTAAGAGGAAGACCCTAAGGCAATAGGAAGGAGTCAGTCTGCTTTGGAGTTGCCCAGTGTGGTGAGTGATGGACAGAGCTATACTTATGCCCTTGTCAAAAGGAGGGCAAATGCTCTACTCCTCAAAATGGTAGCAGTCCTGTTACTGAATGCTGCTCAGTGCTAGGGTTAAGGACAGTACAATATTTATTTTTAAAATACGTAATTTAAGAGTATGAGTGGCAACGACAGTGGATAGAGAGCTAACCTCAGAGTCAGGAAGCCTGGACTTCTAGTCCCGCCTATGACACGTTGGCTGGGTGACCCTGGGCAAGGCCCAGAGTCAACTCTCTAAGACTCTGAGCTGTACAGAAGGTGCCAATATGCATTGGGAGAGGGAATTTCCTTGTTACAAGTTCTCTATATGTTCTTAATGAGTCACAGATCCAGCCCTCCCACCTAATCCCCCAAAAAAGGGGGAGTGGAGGGCCAGAATTATTTATTATCCCTAAAACAGTCAGGCAGGTTTATGATGGGCAGTTTGGGATCAAGCAGAAAAGGAATTTACTGGAGTACTGAATGAGATGTCCCAACGAAGACTCCTCAGTGTAATTAAGGTTTGGGATAAGGTTGAGTAGGATGAGGGTCCCGTGAAAACTTCTTGGAAGAATAAATAGAAATTGTATTAGAATCAAGGCAGGCATAGCAGCCTGACAGACCTAAGTTTCGATTTACTAGAAATCACCTGATTTACGGGAATTCAACCCCAAGTACCCCCTCCCACTTATGCCATTGTTAAGTAGTTAAAGTTTGCCAAGCCTGAAACTCCTGAAGAAGCCCCCCCCTGTATTTTGTTGATGCACCTGCTGCTATATTTCAGTCATGGTGACCTGGCTACACAGTATAGTGTCTAGCTTGACTGCGCATCTTTAATTGCTTCTTTGGTATTACTTCAGCAAACTAAGAAATATAGATATGTATATTGTGTTCATTGTTTTGTCTTCAGTTTCTATGGACTTTGAGAATGTGAGCCAAATA